CATAAATGAACATAAATGAACTTAAATGAACTTAAATGAACTTAAATGAACATCAATGAACATAAATGAACATCAATGAACATAAATGAACATCAATGAACTAGGTGTTACTAGGGCACTAGGGCTGCAAGCTATGGACGAACCAGGGGCCCATCTTCCCTTAACCCACAAAAGGCCCAATGATCTATACAGGACCTATCATTCCATTCAATCCTGGTTGGTTAAGAAAGGGATTCCCCTGTTGGATGATTATAATCCCAAATATATAAAGGGTTTTTTTAATCCCCGAACTAACCATGAAGCAACAGGGCTTTGTGTTTCACACACTGCTCATATGAGGATAATGAACCAAGTGATGCCAATCAACCAACTACTAACTATGACAAGGGTGGATTCACTGCTGGGAAGTGCACTTCCCAGATACTTCCAGTGAACTAAGTGGATATATACAATATATATATATATGCATGCATATAATTGTGTATATATATAATATTCATGTATATACATGTATATACTATTTCACCAAAGTTATAGGGCTCATAAATTCGTAACGTCTGGCATGCACTGCCACCCACAAATGTACGTCACCCTTGGAACACGACAAGATGCCACGGGGGTTTACGTTCTCTACCCATGGCTCAGCGGTGTGTTTTTGCAACGAGGCACTGGCAGAACCATTGGCCGCCTGTTTGCAAGCATTCATGCCTTGCGAGACAGTGTTTTGGGACACTTTGGGACTAAATATTTGGCCAACTTATATGGGTATGGGTCAAAATTAGGTACCCCAAAATTATGGATGGTTAATACTCAACTAGACATTCACATCTGTGGTCCCACATCGGTCTTCCATTTTGACCCACATCCATATACAATTATATGATGATAATAATCAATGTGGATCTAAGTTCCATGAACACGCGTGCTCGGATGAGGTTGGATATGGTTGGATGATGGATTCGGATAATCTTGACACCCAAATCAACATCCCGTATCTGTTAATCTACCTGTTTTGTTCCAGAAAATCTACACTCATCGATAATCATCTACAACTGCAGGGGTACCCTCTGATAAGCGTTACAAAAAACTATGGAAAATCACCATGTTTGATGGGTAAATCCACTATTTCGACTGGGCCATTTTCAATAGCCTTTTTGTATGTTTACCAGAGGCTACTAGCAAAAAAACCGACGATTCCTCGGGACATACCCCGTTAAAACACGCCAGTGAAGATGCCTAGAACCAGTCCCTACTAGCAGTACTTAGTGGTTTGCTGTGCTTGACATACCACAAAAATGGGGTCAGTTGGGATCAACACGATGTCTGTTTGGGGGTTGCTACACAGCAAATTCAGTAAAGTTGAAAAAAAAACAAAGATATTTGTTGGTCACGTGCCCTTCCAACATGTTTGTGCTTCCAAGGATACCCAAGAAACTCTGTGTCATAACTATACAATATTCAGAACGTGATGGCTTATCATAATTTTCCCCATTGGAATATATAGCTGTTTGAGAGTCTACCACATGTTCAAACAAACCACAATCCAATATTGTTGGTTATAGATTCCATTCTAAATTATACTCAATTATCCCCCAATCATACTTGGTTTCATACCCAACATTTCTGGACAATCCCATATGTGTTTCAGTCGTTTGGGTTGATCAGTGAACCGCTTGTGACCGAGGTACCTGCTGCATTGTTCGCCTAAGTTTTCCCCGCCAAAATGGTGATGTTCCAGTTCGCGGATGTCGCAAAGTCTTCAATTACCAGAGGCTAATAAGGTAAAGTCAATAGTCAAGGTAAACATCTTATTTAACAACCATAACTATGAAGAGTTTATCTTATTAAACTATAAACTCTTCATAGGAATGTTGCTATCCGGAATAATAGTCAACAAACCATTCCGGATAGCAACATTATAGGGTTTTCTATTGGGCCCCGATTTGGGACAATTGTGGGGGGATATTGTGGATGCACATTCCTCAAATTCATCAGGCCATTCTGTTCTCAGCAAACAACGAGAATACGGTTTGTCCTCGGGGCGGAATGATTTTGATCGAAGGGAATACCCGCAAAATCGTAGAATCCGATGCTTCTCAGATGGTAAACTGTGATGGTTTACATTGTATATATACCACCAATTCAGAAAACGCATGATCACACACTGTATACTAATGGGTTTGACTATATCAGTCTAGACAATACACCAATCATTAGTATCATATGGTCTATACCATTCTATACCATGATACTAGGATATATATATATGGCATATCTACTAATGCTTTATATTATATATATATGGTTAAATTATAATATTTCACTAACCTGAATTGAGGCCATATTTATAATTTACCCAGATATATATATATATATATATATATATGTCCTCTGGTAAACTAACATAGCTATTAAACATGGCCATTTATAGTGAGTTTTCCCATCAAAAATTGCCATTTTCAATGCGGATACGGATGATTGGGCCATGACTCAAATGGTGAGATATTGGGTCCATGACTTCATCGACCGAATGTGGGGATCATCCCATTTTTTTGTGGCGATATGTTCGATCCGAAACCAGCAACCGTATGATGGTTGACATCCATATATAGTTGTATATAATCATTTATGTATATATATATACATGTTTGTATATAATTATAAATAGGTATATACTATACATATATAGGTATATACTATACATATATGTATATACTATACATATATATATATATATCATATATATATATATCATATATATATATCATATATAAATATTTATATATATATATCCACATATGTTTTGCCGGTGCTATTCCCACTTTAAGTTGATTCTTGGTGATATCCCACAATGCTTGCGGCCACAGCACAGTTCGAACAGCAACTGGACAGCGCTGCAACAGGCAGCAACGCCTAGCCGGAAATAGTTTATAAAATCAACCATTCTTGGGATATGCATGGAATAGAATAGGGGATATTAGTGGAATATGTGTATATATATAATATGTATACATTGGAATATAAATATATATATATGTATTATAATTGCTTTATTATAATTACATCTTACAATGGGATAAAAATATAACCAACAATAAGCCAATCGAGGTTTCCATGATGAGATCTCATGCCGTTCATCCTGGTCGCATTATTTCAGGATGAACGCCACGGGCCAGATCTTATGGATAATTGATATCATGATACCATATGATACCTATGAATAGCTATGAATGATAATCATTGATAATTGATGATTCTACATTGGTGATAATTTAATTGGATCCCAAAAAACAGACGTTTTCCCATTTCAGTCTTTGGAATCCAACCGACCGTGCAACCGAGAAGCCAGCAACAATCGCAGCGATCGCCACATCATCTCAAAGGGATGACGTCAGAAAACCGTCCAGCGCTCAGTGCGAAGATTTTAGGCACCGCGAGAAAGGCAAGCTGCGACAGTCAAGTTCTGTTTGTTTCATCAGGGCCTAGGGTGACAAAAATGATGATTTTCTCGTCCAGCTGATAAACACTTGTATGTTTGATTCCATCTTCGACCTCGATTTGGTGCTGATATGTTTAAAGCTTTGTTTCGGAGAAAATTCATCCCAAATGATCCGAAATGAGGAATCTTAGACCACACAACTCACTTGGAATGTCAGAAACTTACTAAGCTTTAGAGCAAATTTCATCTAGATAGCGCTTTTATGGTGATTGTCCCATATGTTTCCATTGAAAGTTGGCATTCTTGGATGCTTCTTCTCTCCTGCCGCTTGAGCCAAGAGATTGAAGAGGTTTATCCACCAAGTACCCATTTATTGAACATCCTGAATAGAAGCAATGATCAAATAATCCTGGTATGAACAAATGGCTACAACATGGTACACCATGAATAATCAACAGCATTGTTACCCTCTGGTAATTTAACATAGCTATTGAAAATGGCGATTTATACTTGATTTACCCATTAAAAATAGTGATTTTCCATAACCATGTTAGTTTACTAGAGGGTATTCACAGTGAAATAGAAAGGTGTAATGGGATTTTCTGACTGTGGGTCCTTACATTGAGCATATCAACCTGGTCCACTCTTATACAGGAGAATGCGCCTGGGTTTTCATCCTGCAAGCAGGTGTAGATTTCGGATCATCTTTCTTCAAGCATCCAAATGGTTGTGTCTGAATATGTGGTATACCCCGTACTACCATTTGAATAGGATTAAATAAGGAAAATGATGATACAACCAGTGGAATTTCTGAACTTTTATCCCCATAATTTTCAAGACAAAGCCATTCAAAGTTGTGTTTCCAGTCCTCATTCGTCAGCCCACTGACGTTTTTTGGTCAGTGGGTCCATAGCGGTCGATCCCTGATACGCTAAATGGAATCTACCCGGCCTGGTAAACATACAAAAAACAATGGAAAATAACCATGCTATTCATGGGAAAACTCACGAAATTTCGACTGGGCAATTTTCAATAGTTTTTTGTATGTTTACCAGAGGGTATTGTAGATGTGATTTGATGTCATATCAATAATTGTCCCAATTGTAGCAAGAACCTATCATACTTCACCAAACTTTTCCCACTCAGTTTTTGAGTCCTCGAAAAAAAGACCATGATCGCAAACTTCTATTAATAACACTTCATTGTAGGAAACACTCCAAAGTCTGTCGTTCTTTTCAAAATACCACAAATTGTCAAAACAAACTACCATTTGGGGATTGCTTGTGCATACCATCCATTTATTGTTGTATATTGTTGGTTGATTCATTATTGGCTTTACCACATCAGTATTGTTACACTTCCAGTCCTGATAATCTCAATGGCCGTTTCAGGATCCTAGATTGGAGGTACCTACCATATATAAGGCCTTTTTTCAGGCCTAAATTTCAGGGAATATCCCCACAAAATATGGCCAGAAATATGGTACTAACGTACCTCCATCAATTGGATCCCGGAGATCTCCCATTTTTCTCGCTTCGACACCCCCCCCCTGGTACCCAACTCAGCGATGAGTTTTTTTCCACGACAATCAGCAAGAACCTACAGATCGACGTGGACATCCATGACGTTGGAGATGATGATTTTATCAAAAATAAGAGGCTACATACCCGGCCTGGTAAACGTTAACAAAAAACGAACTGGAAAGATCCACCAGCTCGCTTTTTGATGGGTAGTCATCAACTATTTCGACTGGGCCATTTTCAATGGTATAATTGATGTATAATGGTTGTCCCATCATAAATGGGATTCCTTACAATGGGTCACCACTACGAATGGATACAACCCCCCATGGATGATAGGATGTGACATGATTTTCGGAGCTTACTGTACTTGATGACTATCGTATGATGGTTATACTCATGAGAAAAGATCTATTATATATATATAATATCGTATATGACTATCGGATATGACTATCGTATATGACTATCGTATATGGTTATAATGTCTATGTTTAACCATATAATATATATATATATCTTATATGGTTAAACACAGCGCTCAAATATCTTCCCAGATTCCTCTTTTCACTGAAAACGAACCGTCAAAATGCTGCCAAAACAAAAACAAATTTTCCATGTTTTCTTCTATAATCAAATCATATTCCCGGGTTTCTATGAATGACTAAACTGTAGATATTAATGTGTCCACATATTCCCATGTATTCCCATGGCCAATCGTATAGACTCTCCGCATTTGCTGTTTTTAGCTGGTCAGTAAATATCTTCACTCCCTTCAAGAAAAATGAGTTAGTGCTAGCCCATGCTAGCCCATTAAGTTGGTTCCCCAGCATTCTTCCCACATAAATTGGGATTGTCCAAAACAGAGTAACCCTAAATTTAATGGTTGCTCATCATGATATCACCATGCAAATTGCCATTAATCGGGTATAAACTCCGATTTCAGACACACACAGATCTCATATCGTCCAGTATGTATCCCAGTATATTCCATTCTACATATCCCAATTGTGGCGGGTTTTATACTCAATGTGTCATGCTTAAATATCAACATATTATATATTAGTTGGTTATATCATGTTACCCTCTGGTAAACGTTTACATAACTACTATGGAAAAACCACTTATAGCTGGCTAAATAAACTATTTCGACTGGGCCATTTTCAATAGCAAACTGTTAGTTTACAGATGATTTTCCCACTAAAACCTCCATTTATAATGGATTTTCCATAGCTATGTTAAATAATTAACCAGATGGTATATTAGTTGGTCATGTCATATCCCCATTTCAAGCCACTCACACATGAGGATGGCTCATGAACTATTGTCACCATCCTGGCTTGTCTGAAACGTGGTTTATACCCAACAATCCCCATGGTTTATCATTACTTGTCCGTTTTGTCAAACGACCTTTTTTGGGTATACCCCATTCAAAACATCTAATTATTATATAACATCATATGTATATCATATATATATATATTATTTAATTACTATATATATATAATATACATTAATTGGTCATATCATATCCCCATTATATCCCACAGATCCCCCATTGTATCCCATTTGGAGGTTTCCTGAAATAGGGATACCCCTCAATCATCCATGTTACTAGGATTTCTCTTATAAACTATCCATAAATTGGGGGTACCCCCAATTTATGGAAACCCTCATGTTAGCGGGTTTCTGAAAATAGGGATCCCCTTGTCCCCTTGCAGGATTTTGCCCCCCAGTTATGTTCGTTGGTTTATCCCCATTAACATCCATGAATACTAATTCGTTGTATCTACAGTACCATAAATTCAGCCACTTTTCTGTTCGGCAACTGAACGCTATCGACTGGGGGCCCCATCCTATTTGAAACTTCAAATTCCCAGCCCCACGGACACCGCAGCACCGCTGTGCGAAGCCCTTGGAAAAGATGAAGGCAGCCCGAAGTGTCCTGATAGGCCCGGATGGTAGAAATAAACCATCAAAATATGGCTGGTTTATGACATTGCTGTTAAATTCATGGTGAATGATTAACCATGATTCATCATGAACAATGACTCATCATGTTTAATAACTAATCATGACTAATGTCAACCCCTGATGAATAAACCATAGTTTATTAATTGGGGGATACTCCTCCAATAGTCACAATCTGATACTTAAATGGTATTCCACCAATTAAAGAGCCTAGGCGTTTATTAATCCAGGGTTGACATTAATTATGCATAATGATTACCTCTGGTTAATGATTATGATTAGTGATTATGTGCCTAAAGCAATAGGATCCACCGTCCTAAGGGATTGAAATCAAATCTGGACCTGGCTGGTTTATGACATTGCTTTACTAACGAAGATATGGATTCATTTAAGGGAACATCTACGGGAAACCATGCTGTTTCCCACAACAAATGGATGCTTCTCGATGTTTTTTTTGCTTAAAATTGGATTTTAAACATCCAACGTTTGACTTGTTGACACAAAAAATGGATATGAAAACAGTTCCCATAATGCCATATGAACATGTTAGAAAATCCAATGATCTGAATTGCGAAAAATAATGCGACTGGAGACATGCACAGGGTGGGGCCCCCAAGATAGCGTTCAGTTGGTTTATAAGTGGCTTAACAATGGTTTATGGTAGATATAACTATAGTTAATGGGGATTATAATGGTTTATAAACCAACTTATAACTGGGGGGGCCCATCCTGCATGAATGGCTTCTAAGCTAAGAAGAACAAGTGTGGGATAAGACCCATGACTGACCATCATCTGCGGTGATGTCTATCTTAACAAAAACTGCCAGAAGGGGTTTGTCTATGAAATCTTTCAACGTGGATGGGGTTCCCCATTCGCGAAGTAGGAAGTATGGTTATGTATATATATATATATACAATATTCAAAAATACCTGTACATTATATTTGTACAATATACACACCATAAACCATTCATAAACCCAGCCGTGACATCTTAGGTACAGTACATAGTACCAGCCGTTGGTTAATCAAGCCACCTGAAGGGTCTCGTACATGGCCAAAAGCAAGTCCTCGGGCAAGTCTTGCCGAAGTGCTATGGATAGAGATTTGGTGCTACCCGAGTTCGTTGAGTATATATATAGGGTTTTGTTCTTTGCTAACGATTGTTATTTATATACGGTTTATAGTATATAGGTATATATGATATTGATATATCCCTAGTTAATGGGGTTTGTAAAAGTTATTAGATAAATATTTATAATGGTATATAAATCAACCGACATAGCCTGGGTGACACCACATTTTTCTGTCTTATCCTCACTGTTGCTGGTCATTGGTCATATTCCAATGTCAAACTCATCTTTTGGCTGATGTTCCCTTGTTTGCTGCATGTACAAACAGTGGTTTCTTTAGTGAAATCTCCAATTTGGTTGTATAAATCAATACAAATCATGAAGCATGGTGATTTCCTTAGCTCTGCCGGTGACATTCCTGTCTACTGATGTCTTCTTTCGAATGTGCGTTGGTTGAATCTTATGTCTTGACCAAACCTGCAACTTTTGCTGATGAAATCCCAAGAGTCTTGGTTTCCTAACGCCGTAAATCCCAATGTTCACCGAAGTCTGGTTGGCTGTTCACTCAAAATTATCTTCTGTTAGATAGACGTTTCCAATCCATGGGACCGTAAATCATCCAAGTCAGAGCATGACTTGCATTACCCTCTGGTAAACATACAAAAAGCTATTGAAAATGGCCAGTCGAAATAGTTGATGACTACCCATCAAAAAG